AATCTCTTTCCTTTGTCCTGACCCTTTTACATTTTTAAATTTTAAACTTTCTAAACCCTTTTAAACTTTTGCCACCCTTCTTCTATTCATTACCCCTTTTAGTTTAGTATTGATTCCTTTGTAGTATAAATATGAACCCTTCTACACTAACTGCCACCCCTACTGTCCTGCCAGATCAGTAGTTACAAGCAGAACTAGCTTAATATGTGTAGACCTCTATTTAAGAGGCTTTTACCAACTATGTGCCTCTAACCCCTTCAGAACCTGTTCTGATTGTTCTGGAAGTCACAACCTGTTCTAGAAAGAAAGTGTATGTAGCCTACCCTTCAGACTTTAATGGGCAGCACTTTGAGGACTTCTAGTACTAAGTTGAACTATACATAACTACTACTTTGACTAATCTATTCTCAGATCTCAATTGTGTCCTATTTGTCCTCTCCTTCATAAAGGAAGGCAACACAACCACCTGAGCCTAGAACTGGATCAAAGGTTATTAGATCAGAAGCCTGATCCAACTTCAGAATAATGAGTCATACTCAGAATTCATAAGGCAGCTCTGTACTTCCTTTATTAATCTGAATAAGAAGTACAATACATAGAACAAGCTTGTGTCTCTGTGACAGGACAAATGTTCTACTAATACCTTCTTTCAGGAGTTTGATATCTTAGCCTAGAAGGTAGGATTCATACTCAGGTTTAATAATGTTCTTATCAGAATGCTTGAAAAAGCTCTTTACCCAGAACTGGTTAATAAGATTCTTAGAATGACACTAGAACTAGTCACCTACACTGAGTAGAAGACACACACTATCTCCTTCAACCAAGCCACAGTTTGGATGTATCAAGTCTGTACAGAATACTTACACATGTGTTCAGCTCTGACAGTTCTGAGCCCTTAAATCAATCTGCCTGTAATTTGTAATTAATCTGTTCTAATAGACATTAGAGAAGCCTAAAAGTAAGGAGCATACTTTACCTGTAGAAAGTCAGAGCATCAAATTAAGGACTGTCTACAGAAGTAACAGTACATCTGTCAGGTTATTAGAGTAATAACAAGTGACAAGCAGGATTTGTAGTAAGAAGCCTTTTCTACAAATCCAGAAGTCACCTTAGAACTCCTAGACCCTAACTATGTACTCTAGGATTTTGTAGAGACCTAACAGTGAATGTAGTACTGAAGAGCTATGACTCAGATTTTTTAATGGTCACTTTTGATTCAATAGACACTATAGGATTAAAAGTAAATAAAGTAAGAAAAGTAGAAAAAGTAGAAAAAGTAGAAAAAATAAATCAACAAAATTATTTATTAGAAAGAAAAAAGTTGAAAACAAAAGTAGATAGTTCTCCTATTTCTTCTGATTCTTTTGATTCTTCTCTTTACACTTTATCTGAGTCTAAATCTGTACAATCTAACCTACTACTTTTGTATTCTAAGATCTTAGAACATTTGAAACACTACTCAGCCCTGTTCACTACTTAGTAGTTTGTCTATAGTATCAAGTAGGGATAGCCTTAGCTGAGTTTACAGCTGAGGACATGAGTCTGTCCTTGTCAAAAGAGAGAGGTTAATAAGGAAATGTTAGTATATATACTCACCCTCTTAGACAACAAGACTGTACAAGCTGTACATTCCCTTTAGAACAAGTAGTAGTTTATCCAAGAACATTCTAGGTACTAACTCTAAGTCTCTGTCCTCTTAGCTCCCTTCTTAGGATCCCCCCAGATCTGAACAACAGTTCTAGTAGATAGTAGATACACTGGTTCATACATTAATAAGGTCTTTGTGTAGGAACACCACCTTCCTACTCAACACATTCTACTTCCAATCCTAGTATACAATATAGACAGAACCCTGAACCAGAATGGTTGGATCACTAAGTTTGTCCAACTATGAATGACTATTTAGGATTATAAGGAAAGTATTGAGTTTAGAGTCACCAACCTTAGAAAGACAGACATCTTTATTAGATTCAAATGGCTTAAGGCTTACAACCCTACTATTGACTAGTTAGAGTAGACACTTGTGTTTAATCAGTGTTCTGAGTCTTACAGCTACCTTACACTACTGTTCTGAGTAGATATGAATACTTTTAATGTTACTAACAGTTCTAATAAAGGTGACTAGTTGTTCTTCTTTGACTAGGATAGATATGTAGATACATATTTTAGTCAAGGCAGAATAGAGTTGATCTAAAGGATGTCTAAGATGGAACTAGTCCAGAACCCTCTTAGAACAACTCTACTCTAAAACACACATAGACCTAGTCTGTCAGATTTTGTCTGAGAGTTCCTTAAAGTCTTTAGTAAAGAGGAATTTAACTAGCTTCCTAAACACTATTCTTAGGACTATACAATTAAATTGACTAAGGGTTTCCAACCTAAGGATTGTAAGGTCTACCTACTCAACAGAGACAAGTAGGAGGTGCTTAATGAGTTCCTTTAGGAAAATCTTTAGAACAGCTAAATCTGACCCTTAAAGTCTTCTATAGCCTCTCCTTTCTTTTTTGTCAAAAAGAAAGATAGGAAGCTCTACTCAGTCCAGGATTATTGTTGTCTTAATAAGGGTACTATTAAAAACAAGTACCTGCTCCCTCTAATTCAGGAGCTTATTAATAAGACACATACATCTAGGGTTTTTACTAAGTTGAATGTTTGATAGGAATACAATAATATTTGGATCTAAGACAGAGATGAGTGGAAGACTGTGTTCTAAACTAATTGTAGATTGTACAAACCAACTGTAATGTTCTTCAGACTAACTAACTTGCTTGTAACATTCTAGTCATTCATGAATCACATCCTTACAGATCTGATTGACTTAGAGTATGTTAGTGTGTATCTAGATAACATTCTGATCTTTACCTAAACAGTCAAGTACTATTACTGACTAATCTAAGCAGTTCTACAATAGCTCTAAGATAATAAACTGTTCCTCTAAGAAACAAAGTACTCCTTTGTACAGGAGTCAGTAGATTATCTAAGCTTTGTGATTGGTGGAGGAGAGGTCTGTATGGATCCAGCAAAGGTAACTGTAGTTTGAAACTGGTTACAACCTTAGAACCTGAAACAGGTCCAAGTGTTCCTTAGGTTTACAAACTACTACTAATACTTTATTCAAGACTTTAGTACTATTGTCTGGCCCCTTCATAATCTTACTAGCAAAGATGTTCCTTAGTAATAGGATGATTAGTAGTAGTCTGTGTTCAAGTCCCTCAAGCAGACCATTACTAGCAAGCCTGTATTAGTAGTTCTAACAGTTGTAAACAAGTTCTGAGTCAAAGTCAACTCTTCCAACTTTACAAATAGAGTAGTACTATCTCAGTTCATTGACAGAAAGTAGTGTCTGATAGTGTTCTAATTAGAATCCCTCTCTGTAACAGAACAGAACTACTCTATCTATAACAAGGAACTCCTTACAATTGTCTGTTCCTTAGAAGAGTAGTGTTAATATCTCCTTAGTACAGTGTAGAAGTTTAAGATCTAGAGTGATTACCTTAATCTCTAGTACTTCTGAGTGCTTCAGAAGCTCAACTACTGTTAGGCCTGCTAAATGTTAGAACTGTAGGACTACAACTTTGTACTAACCTACAAACCTAGAACACAAATGACAAAAGCTAATTTACTCTCAAGACAAGTAGGTTATGAAAGGGGGGAGAATAATAACAAAAATCTTGTTCTTCTAGACAATTCCTGTTTTATGTCTAAGACAATCCAAGAGATCCAACTCAAATCCAAGGATGTTGACTTTATTACTTACATACAGTAAGCTCTAAGACACACACAGGACTAAGTTATAGTGAAGCAACTAGAGAAGCAGGCTAGGGATTAGGAGGAGGATAAGGATGGACAGGTTTACTAGGAAGGCCAACTGTATGTTCTAAAGGATTAGAAACTGTAGGAGAACATTGTCTGAGCTCATTACAACAATCTGACTACAGAACATTCAGGCTGACACAAAATGTAGGAACTCATTACTCAGAACTACTAGTAGTCTAGGATGTAGAGGGAAATCCTGAAGTATGTGACTAGTTATAATACATACTAACAGACTAAGACCTACTAGACAAGAGTTTGAGCTCCCCTACATTTGTATCAGATCCTGGATTACTCTTAGAAAGAAGTCTCAGTAGACCTGATTAGTAAGCTACCTGAGTCTTAGGGTTACAACACTATCTGTGTAATTGTTAACTGATTCTCTAAGTAAGTCTATACAGTTCCAACCTGAACAGAACTCACTTCTGAAGACATAGTGTGTATTTATTAGAATCATGTCTTCTAGTTGTACAGACTCTCTCAGAAGCTCATTCATGATTACAGACTGTAATTCAAGTCAAAATTCATACAGGACTTGTATGTACTTCTTAGAATTCAAGGGAACCCTTCTACTACTTATTACTTACAGACTGACAGTTAAACTGAGTAAGTCAATCAGGAGATCAAGCTCTACCTCTAGATGTTCATCAATCATTAGTAATCAGATTAGTCTGAATGGTTAGCTCTAGCAGAATTTGTGTATAATAACTAGTAACACTCTACAATAGGACAATCCCTATTCTTCCTTAATTATGAGAGACATTTATACTAGGAGACAGTTCTGAACCAGAATAGTAGTTCTGAATCTATAACAGACTTTGTAGAACAGATGTACAGAACCAGGAAGGACACACAAGCTCTTTTAGAAAAGGTAGTACAGGTTATAAAGCAGAACTATAATCAGAAGAGGTCTGTAGCTGAGGATTACTAGTCTGGTGACAAAGTTATACTAGAAGCTACTAACCTAACTACAGATTGCCTAATAAAGAAGTTGGACAATAAGTACTTTAGACCCTTTGTTATTGAAAAGAAGGTCAGTACCTCTGTCTACAAACTCCAACTTCTAGCAACATGGAAGTGTATACACTCAGTGTTCAACAAGGTTCTACTGTCTCAGTACTATGATCTAAGTTTTCCTTTGTAACAAAGACCCCTACTGTCTCTACTAGAACTTATTAGTTCTGAACCAGAATATAAAGTAGAGTACATAGTAGATACTAAGCTGCTACACAGAAAACTCAAATTCCTTGTTCACTAGAAAGGGTACCTAGTTGAGGAGCATACTTAGGAACCTACTAAGAACCTCACCTATACTCCTAAGACAATCTGAGACTTCTATCAGCTTCATCCTAGTACTCTACACAAACTCAGCCTCACAGATTTCTAAGCCTTGACTACAATGAGTGTAGCTCAACTATCAGTAGTATGAAAGTGTACTCTCATTTGTTACACAACTCACAATTGTACTTGATTTACTATTATGATCTATTATTAATGTTAGTGACAGTATAGAGGGGACCTGAAGGCTCAGTAAGGGGACCCAGGCTACAACTATCCTACACAACAGAAATACAGAATGTAAGCACCAGAACATAGTTGGAACTTGTAGAATAGGCAGAGAGAGAGAGTGAGATAAGAGTAGAGTATATAGAGTGAGCCTAAGAGTACAGGACTACCTAGAGTAGACAAGATCAAGACTACAGGACCAGTCTGATCTTGTATACCTATATATACTAAACTATACAAGAGTACTCAGGGAGTATGAGCCACTAAGAATGATAAGCTATGAAGAATGAAAGAAAGGAATGTCAAAGATAAAGGTACAAAGAATGAAGGGATGGACAAAGGGTAAGAGACTATAGAATGAACAGAGAATGAAGGAGTGGTCAAAGGAATGGAATGATGAAGTAAGGAAGGGTAGTAATAAGAGTCAGCATACATATAGTTTATAGACAGTACTCTTAAGGGACAGAAGTCCTAAGTTCTGGTACAGAAGGGTGTGGAACCCTCAGAACTGAAGGTACAGGAGTAGAGAGTCATAACATTATCCCCCCTCTAAAACTAATCATCCTGATTAGTGAACATAGGGCTCAGTTAGTAGCTCAGGCATAGGTCAGAATAGTATGAGTGTCTTTAATACTGACCTGCTAATGCTGGGTCTGTCTCTTGTACTGTGCATTGTGTACATTTGACTGGGCTTGTGAGAATTGGATTTTTTACTGACAGTGACATCATTTGAGTACAACTCAGGGAATGGCAGCCTGTATGCAAGTCAGAGTTGTTCCATCATTACCTTGTATAAGCTACTGACTGTAGGGATGAGTATAGCTTCTACTGAACAGACAGTTGGAATGTAAGCAGTCCTACATTTGTGTCTCAAATGTGATAAAGTGGCCACATACTGTGTGGAACTGTTCATTAATTATCTGTACCAGAATTGAGCTTGATTAGCAACAGTACCAGAAAAGACTAGCTAAGAAAGTGTACATTATAGCACATCTTTGCAAGAACTTAGTGGTTGAGGGAGAAAGGAGGGGATAGGGGTGTGCTGCTTGTGACAGACAGGTTAAATGCTATCAGTCACTCATCAGAGGGAAGTAATAAGGCCTTTCCCTTTACCTTAAGAGTAAATATCATGTATAAGAGATTATACTACAAAATCTAGACTGATAGAATTATAAAATATGCAATAAGATTAAATAGATTGAGTAGATCTTGTCAAATACAATAGCTTACTAGATACTAGTATATTACAGGCATAACTTGAATATAATGCCGAAGAGTCCCTAAGTTGATAAAGATACTCGAATACCTTATTTTCCAGAGATTAGATAGTATGTTATAAGGTTTGCATAAGGTGTTACATTAGCAAGATACATTGTGATGTACAGTCTTACACAATTATACTAGCTGCATCAGCTAAAAAAGTACTATATTACTATAATTCATGTATAAGTCTTTGTGCTCCATCGGAAAGCCAAGCACTCTGTGCTGATAGGGAAAAGTGCACATCCATTCAAGGAGCGCATCAATGTAGCGTAGTTTGAACTCTGGGTATCAATGCATATTTTATGAGTGTCGGAAGTAGAGCTGTAAAAGTGAATAGAGATGGAAGAGAAGTTGTATATGCAGACAGACAACGGTGGATCTTAGGACATACAATGTTCAACTGTATATGCGCAGCATGTCCTTTGCTTGGCGTGAGAAGGATGAATAATAGCACGTTAAATGGAGTGGAAGCGGATCCGAGCAGAAAGGATCAGGATTGCGGTGGAGTTGGCGACGACGCCCGTAGTAACTAGCATAGACTCAACGAAAGGGTAGACGTAATTTGTCAAATCCCGAAGAGTAGTAAGCTGTGTCGACAAGAATGCACAATAACTTATGCGTATATCGCAGATCGAAAGAAGGTAAGAAGAGCGCCTTGTGAAAATCAAGGGGCTGTAGGGTGGGGTAGCGCTCATGAATAAGAATGGATTTTCACCTCTTCTCCATGACATACGGTGATTTACTGTAGTAGATCCTTGTTCCTGCACTAGGAGTCGATTGTTTTGACTAACTTATGGGCGATGCGGGTTTGGATTGGAGGGAATAACCCGAAGAATTTAGTTCCGCGCGCCAATCCTAGAGAGCGCTGTGTGGCGCACACCGCTCGAAGATCTCATTCCGTTGGCATTGAAAGTGGATGAAAATGGCAAGCACTAGTAAGGCCAGGTTCGGTGCTTGTGCGAATTGTTCCTGTAAGTGGCCTTTAGTCTTCTTCGCTTCTCCAGACTGCTGCGATCTCATAGTGAGCGCCATCAGGAATCATAGTTGCGGTGGTGGGCGTCCCGTCGACAAGCCACAGAGCACGCAGAAATATGACGTATGTAAGCATCAACTTCCGCCTGTACGCCGACAAACTCGGTGCCCGGTAGTTGGTGAATTAGCAGACACGGAAGCTAAGCGTTGCTGTTCCGTTTGATGGACAGCTTGTTCACCCTATATTTGAACATTCGCATCCAAGATTTGTACGCTTCGGGTGTCGCGGAGGACTGAGATACACAGAGTGACGTAGTGAAATACAGGCCTTCGGAGTAAGACGGACGGGGACATCCTACAATGTGAAAATCGTCTACAACGTGTCGGGACCGGTGGCGGGCGTTGAGAGGGGTAGAAGTTGGCGATCGCGTGATGCCTTGTGCTGAAACTCGCTAGATCGGAGTACTAGTTTGATAACCCCCAATTTTCATTGTCGCATCAAACAGACAAAGTAAAATATACATGCCAATAAGACAGCCGTACTTGAAAATGCTTGCAGGAGGACCTGGGGTCTCGCAGAGTTATGATATTCGTAAAGTAGAAGCAGTAAGCATAGTTGATGTAGTATGAAAAATGAATATAGATTATGAATTCTGCAACCTCGGCTTCGGGTTGCTTTGAATCAGAAGGATCTGTGCCTGAACACGAGTGTGTAATTGCGAGGGACAAAGAGGAGAGATAAAGATCCAATCATTGTCTTTGGGCCACGAGCAGATGATAAAAATGATTCTTTGCCTCAGAGTGTTCAAACCCTGCGAGGCCACATAGTGACACAGACTTCCAGCCAGTTCAGGTGACAAGGGAGGAGATAAGCGAGCGTTCTGGAGCACGGAAATCTCGGGGACCCTTGGACAGAATGCAAGGTACATAGACACATGTTTAAGGCTTTGCTTTATTGCTGTAAACACGAGAAACGAATGAATTGGCGAGGAATGATGGGGGATTGAAGGGACATGACCAAAGTGCAAGAGGAAAGAGGCTGAGCACGTGCTCGAGGCGCGTCGAATGTCGATCATCACAACTCTTTCGTTCGTCATCCTCGGCCAGGCAGACGCGTGCCACACGCTCTTGCATCCACCCTGCACATTCAGTTCTCCTATCATCACGTCTTTATCTCTCAGGGATCAAGCTAGCTTAACTTCATATGTCAAGCTCAAAGCCACCAACTGTACAATTGAGGTACAAGATTGCAGGATGCTCGGAACACAGTGGACGTTATGTTGCGGATAACATCAAGTTTGACCGACCGCATGATCAGACAAGCCGTTGGAGTTCGGCAAAGGATAATTCTGTTCATGGACGATCCTGGATCCTCATCGAGCTGGATAATGCTGCATGTCTAGGTAAGTATATACACATTCAAGCCGTACAACCTTGACTGCGGCGATGCGTACGCCAACTATCGGCCGAGGACGGCAGATGTCTGCTTCCTGCGCCGATTGAGTTTGGTGATACTTTGAGAATTTCTCCTTTGTATCAAAGAATGCCCTACCCAGTCTGATCACTGATGTACATTTTTAGAAAGCATCACCTTCGGAAAGGTACGAGATCTACCTGGTCTTGCTAAAGGATATGACTTACGGTGGCTCTGTTCTAGTTTCACAAGGGTTCGGGTCCTTTTTAACGAAAGTTCCTGCGTGCTTACAGGGTTTATTATAGCTCATCCATGTAACATGAAAGACTTTGAGGTTCATGTCGGCTTATCTCGTGATCACTTGACACAAGTGCTGCAAGCCTCTTTAAAGAATGATTCAAAACCAGAGACCTTTGGTATACGGTGCAAGAATAAGGATGGGTTACAACTTCCGACAAAGTTTGTGAAGATTATGTCACTGTCGTAAGCAAGGGAAAATCAAATATCTCGAGAAGTGGACTGATATCGCGACATAGTGCTCATGGACATAACTTCAATACGTCGATATGGTATGTCGCTCTTTTCGGTATCATGGATGCCACATATGTGCAGAGGGTAATTGATACATTTGAGCGGGTATGTTGGCTCGTCAGACTTGCTAGTTTTGTCCTCACAGTGATTTTTTGCCTCGCTATCTAGAACAGAGAAACTCTGGCAATGCGACATATATTGAAGCACCTTCGCCAAAGAAGGCACATATCCATTTTTAGACAACTACAAACGCGGTCCGGAGTACGACTCGAGCATCCGCTCGTTTCGGATTTATATGAGATACTCGTCTTAAGAGGCGATTGGGTCGCCGCGGAAGCACACCTTAACGAACTTTCGTCTGCAGGTCTTTTCTCAGAATTCATACATACTTGCACACCTCGTGCCCGGTGGAGACGCTTACGCGGAACGGATGCGAATGGTGACGTACCCGGCAAACGTGGAGGGCATGCAATGTGCATGGATGTCGAGCGTGGTTTAATATACCTCTTTGGCGGTTATGATGGCCAGCGGAGCCTCGACGACTTCTGGGTGTACGACGTGCGGGAGGAACGGTGGCGCTTGCTTAGTCATAGCGTCTGTGAAGAAAAGCGTGGTCCCACTCCTCGCGCATGCCATAAGATGGTCTTCGACCAGAAGAGCGGGTGTATCTATGTCCTCGGCAGGCTAGGTGATAGTGACTTCCAGGAGTCGAGATCGACTGCACCGCCTACTGCCGTCCAAGAGCCCGACGGCAACAACCTAGCAGAGCCTGCTCAAGGAACTGGGCAGGTCCGAAGTGCTTGGAGCAATAGGCGATCAGTCGGAGTTGGGACGGGAAATGCAGCTGATGCTCCATCTCCGCATCGGCCAGGCTCCAGCAGGTCAATTCCGGCACAAGACTATCTATCCGATTTCTATCGATGTAGAACACGCGGAATCGATCAGGGAAACTGGGAGCTACTCAATTACGACACTGCTGTACGTTATTATGCTATTCGAACCCATGGATAGATTGTTTTGACTGCATTTGACAGATCAAAGGCGGACCAAAGCTTATCTATGACCATCAGTTGGTACTTGACACAGATGCCCAGGTTCTATATGTACAGGGAGGCAGAGTCGTTGATGATGATTGGAAAAACCCGAAGTACTCTGGACTATATAGTTATGACCTCCGAACGGATAAGTGGACCATGATACAGTCAGTCCATTTTTCGCAACACAGAGCATCAGGAGCTTAACATATCCTGCAGGACTAACAATTCAGATGGGAATTTCTCGCCACGGTTTGGTAAGAAAGTTTCCCAGAATATTCCACAGTATTAATCAGGCCTAACTGCTCTTTCACAGGCCATTCCATGGTATTCGAGCCGAACATGAAGAAACTTCACATTTTTGCGGGACAGAAAGACGATTATCTTGCCGACATGTGGGAATATGACATTCAGTCCAAGACCTTGACGGAGCTCTTCTCAAATGTATCGACCGCCGGTGGACCAGATGCATGCTTTGCTCAGAGAGCTGTGATCGATCCCTCGGTGAAAGAAATCTATGTGTATGCTCCTTTTCCCTCATTTATTGGCTTTTTTACATATGATATTTTTAGCTTCGCGGGAATGACCAGAAGACACATGCAATCATATTCCAAACTTCCTGTTTTCCTGTATCGTTACGATAAACGTCCAGGAACATGGATGCGTGTGCCAACAGCGGATGCCTCCTCGAGAGTATGTCAAGCTTCATCAGGTGCCCAAAGGCAGCCACGATCCCCTAAACGACATCGTACTAGTGGAGAGAGCGAGAGGGAAGCTAGCAAGGCTGTCGAGTCAGAGGAAGATGGAGAGCCTATAGCTCGACGCGCTTGCCAGGTAGTATATGACCCAAATACGCAGATATTCTACTTGCATGGTGGAACTGCTCAAGCGAGATTCGATCCGGCAAGAGGCGTTTTCCCCGAGACAGATGAGCGACTGGATGACTTCTGGAGCATGAAGCTTGAAAGGTGCAGCCTTCGTACAGCGTCATTGTTGTCATACATAAGCTGATTTTCCTCGAATTATCTAGACCTTCTCCAGAGGAGATAATACGACGTGCCGTCTTCGAAATTAGGAGACAACAGTAAGCATCTTGTATTTACAAGCAAGTGATACAATCGCTAAAAAAAATTCCGTATATAAAGGTTTCGCGAGTTATGTGAAGATGCAGCACCTGTGGCTGCATTAGCCTTCTTGCAGAACGAGGTTTCCGCTGTTGTGAACCATGCGGACAACGAGGAAGCCGCAAATTTCCGGTCGCTATTATCATACCTATTCGCTCAGCCTCCTGTCCCGTTATCCCCGCTGTCCCCCGTACCACCCGCGACTAATCTTCAACAGGACGAAGAGAGGTCGTATGACTCGCCTTCATCAAGCAACTCGGACTCGGGTTCTGGGGAATGGACGAGTGAATTGCGGAGAGAGGCGGATGAAGATGCTGTCATGACAGATGTTGGTTCTGTTCCCGCTCCTGCCGCTCTTGGTCCCTTCCCGGATACAGTTAGTGAAGTACCATCGGGAGAAGACGATCCGTACGAACTGGCACTTCGAGGCGGGAAACAATTGAGTGGCAACCGGTTCGAACAGCGGACCGAAGTATTTGAAAGCTTGTTGCGTTTTGTGGGCAAAGCAGGACGGGCAAAGCAACCTGAAGGGAGCTTGTCGGATGTCCTTGGGGATGAGGAGTGGTAAGACGGTGAAGGGTTTGGTGTTCCCAATAAATAGGCATTCGTTCTTGTACAGTGGGACTACCAGTTGTGTACTTTCGTCCAGCTCAGGGTATATCTTTTCAATACATGTATTTCACGTTCACATGCAATGGAATTTACAATACAGTCATTACTTCTGACTAAATTCAGTGTTATCTCTACGCCAAATCAGCTAAGATACACTAGCATGACTCTGGACTTGGATACAGCCCCATAGCCAACAAGAACACTCATTCATCCAAGTTTATCGCAGATCCGAATTTAGCGTATAAGACGAGCTTGAGCTCCTTCATTTCTTTCTCCCATTGTTCAGTTTGTTCGCTGAGTTTGGACATCTCATCGCTTAGGCCGGATGTGTCGCGCTCGAGACGTTTGAGTGCTCGTGGGAGGGGGAGGTGTACGAAGGATTCGCCGATGCGATATCTGTGTAGTTATATGGCAAAATTAGTAACGTGCGAAGTCAGGAGTAAGGTGGACTTACAGTACAGGCTGATCCTCATCTGCTAACTCAAGCTCTGAGGCGAGGTCGTCTAACACTTCTTTTTCTTCCTAATGATATATGTTCCAGAGTCTGAATGTCAGCCTCATTCCTAGCTGATAATGATAAATGATAGCTTTAAAACACACCTTGAGAGCCTCGATTCTAGCCTCATGTGCGCGTAAACGCGTGTTGAGTTTGGAGAAGGTACATATGCGTTGTTGGTCTTCCCAGGTGACTTCGACGTCTTCGGATTCCTCTTCTTGTTTTAGCTGTTCTGGTCCGTAAAAGTTGTTAAGAGGAGGTGAGTTGTGGAATAGATTGGGTTGTACATACCATGCGCATGTTTGTGGAAGGAGGGGAAGGAGTGTCGCGTCGATCCTTGATCTGTCTGAATTGGGAAATTTACTGTGCCACATCATCATGTCAAGTTTCAATCACTTTTGAGCCGAGTGCGAGAGCTGCTTTTCTTGAATTTTACTTGGCTCTGTCAAAAAGGCTGGGTGTGTAGTGGCGCATAAACATTGTGCATTTTGGAATGGCCACCTTTACAAATATCTCTGTGTTCCAGGAACGCCATCAAGAATACAACAGGTACTCGGGAAACCAATCTGTTTCATGCCTTGTGGCTTGGAACTCGGTCTGCATCGCATTAACCCTTATATCCTTTCTTTACTGATTTCCCTTTCTTTTCTCAAAGACTAAATCGGACATACTCGCGCTTTTGCTTTTTCCATACTACAAGAACGCCAGCGCACAACTTAGCTGCGCTGGAATAAACGGATAAACGGCTTATTCAAAGTTTCGGCGGTCCGATACTGTGCTCTTCGACCGTTTTTCCGCTCACCTTGACCACAATAGTGATGATACTTATCAACAGAAACGCGATAGTAACAAAAAAAATTCCGTTAGATGCGAGAATTATTTACCCACATCCCTTGCTGTTCAACATAATGTTGGGTCCCCGGAGTCCCTTTATTCGACTGAAAGTGAATTCTCTTGATCCTTCTCTATATTTCGCTTTACGTATGTAAAGATGAAAATAAGTTGGTACCACTTTGCACTATATCGCATTCCCAGAGATTAATGATGGCCCCAGTAGAAGAATCATATCTGCTCCAATGTTTACATCAAGAAATCAGACATTAGCTTCTAGCGATGTATAGTGACCGTTGGGCGCTGGGATTATGGACTAGTCAGTGATAAGGAGGTTCGAAGGGTAGGTCTCATTGTTGATTATACATCTGTCTTGATTCTAACCTGTCATTCAAAGGAGTTTTCTTGCACCCAAATCGATGTGTGCTGAAATTAGCGCAAGGATGCACCTTGAGTACACACGACTGCTCTACTTTACCTCTAATGTAGGTAAATATTATGCAAGAGAATCTGAACGAGATAGACATACTCCTGAATAATTTGAAATTATATTGATGTAGATGTCATCAAGGAAAGATAAAATTCAGTTGAGAGAAGTGAAACATCCGACGTTTGCACTTCTAGCAGCCCAGAGAATTGATCCGTGTCGGAAGAAAATCTAGCCTGTGATCACCATTGCGGAACTCTAGTCTCAGGCGTTGAGGATGCCGTCATGCCCGTGATGAGAAAGGTTATAACGCTCTTCCCATAGATGAACCGGACGAGCGGTTCCGTTACACCCGCTGGCTAGCAAGAACCGTGGTTTCCCGAATGTTCACTTTGTCGTACCGCAGGTTAATCGATTGATGTCATTGAACCTCAAGCGAGCCGCAAAGGACCCCGTAAATCGGATTGTCAGGTCCAGGACTATCAGTTTTGCTTATCATTCATCCGGTGTTGAACGGATATTAGGTGAACAGGGCTTCACTGCTTGAACACGGCAGCCTTAACGTGTGACCCAATGCTACTTGCAATGTTGTGTGCGAATGTTGACCCTTGTGTATTAGGTGTGCGCGGCGTTAGGCACTTGTATGCATGTTCCGCCGGTTTCTATGCTAGAAGCAAGGGTGAAAAAAACGCCATGCCGACAAGTTCCTTTAACAAACGACTTCTATCCAGCGCTGAAGTTATTCCTACGTGATCTACTCTCTGTGGAATAGACGGATTTGTAACGAGCCGAGGCCGTGAGTATACTTGTATTCCCTTTTGTATTCATGCTTCGGAACAGTTGCAAAGAAAGGCTTAGGCTTTATCACGTTCTGGTCAAAGCTCGTCTGATGTATATTAAACAGAGGACGTCTAGATTATAGAAGCGCGACACAGAGTGAACCGTCTACCCACGCCACGGTGACTTCGCATCAACGATAGCAAAGTGTATTTCCAATTTTCGGGTCTGTCATTCGAACATACCAACAACATTCATATTGACAATTATTATGTGCTTTTTCATCAGTACATGGATTGCATTTACGACGAGAAACGTCTTCGGTCGGCATGGATTATCGAATACACTCATGCAACCACGCCAAATTCTTTCGCATGTTGCGCTCTAGCCGCCTTCGTCTCTTCTTCAGTAGCCATCACGATATCACGCTTCAACAGCTTGAACTCGCTTCCTTTCGCGAAGCCCTTGGCACGTGCTTCTTCCTCTGATTTCACGGTTTCAAGTTTCTTCAAGAAATCGAAAATATCAATTCCTTACTCGATGAGAACGTCTGATTAAGATCAAGGACTTACGACAGTAAGGCTCTTCTTCACGCCAAAGACAGCATCACTAAAAATCAACGGATCACCTTCTGGGTAAAGTGCAGTTATCAAAGTATTGAAGCCAGGTTTTTCGAACATCATATGCAAGTGATTCGGGCGCATGTTGTGTCTCTTCAACTTGTTGAGCAGTTCACCTACAGGGCCCTATATTACGTTCTTCAGATGCATTTCCATGATCCAACAGATGCAAGAGCTTACATCACCAGGAATAGGATACGCAACGGGCACAACGGCTCGATAGGCGAACTTTCCGTCTTTGCCCGAGCGGAGGCGGCCTCTACAGTCCGGAGTCGAACGGTCTGTGTATTGGACGTCGTAGAATCCATTTCTGTTCAATCGTAGTCAGTCCCAGGGTCTGATTTCAGTGCATACAACTAAAGAAGTTTTCGACTCACGCATCAGTCTCCCAGGTCTCGATTAGAACTTCAGGGATTGGATTTCCCTTTGAGTCCAGAACACGTCCTTCGACCCAAAGGTATTCTCCTTTGCCCTCAGAAGCAATCGAATCTCCAAGCGCAACTGGACAAAATGACTATTTATCAGCACTTTACTCTAAATCATTCGGGATTAATTCATTTGACTCCTTACCATCTTGCGCATCCTCAGTGAAAAACGGTCCCAGCACACTGCTCTCAGTCGTATTCCCAAGCGGCGGGTTATTCAACGCGTCCACAAGCCCAGAGATACCAAGTACATCTGATAGCAGTATAAACTCCTGACGAATATCCGTGCATTTTTGTCCAGTACGCGTCAAGAATTGGATAGTCGTCATCCACTCTTCTGTTGTAAGACTATGACGTCATCATATGAGTTAGTTAAAGCAACGAAACAGATGGATGTCTCAACAGGTACAAGGATTATCTTACTTAGTTTCTTGAATAAAACCATGCATATGCTCAACGAGTTTGTCCATCAAGAATTTCAAGCGTCTAAAAATAATTCAAACAAGAACATGAAAGTGCGTAATTATTATTAAATAAGGATTAATAAAGAAATCGTGAATACACAGCGGTAGACTCACGGCGAGGTCGCAAGCGTATTCAACTTGAACATGTTCGCAGTGATGATTTCAGGTCTATCCGGGAGCTGGATAGCGAAGTCAGTCCTTTGTAGGCGTGCATACATGCATACGTGATCTATTGGACACGTACAGGCAGTTCGAAAGGCGGGGGCGGAATCCCATTGCTCTCTGCCTTCGTCACTTTACTCGTGTCCGTCATTGTCAATTGGAAATGTTAAGCAAGTAATAAGGCTTGAAGACAGAATGAATTTTTGAACTTGAACAGAGCACCAAACAAAGCAGTGAAGTGGTACCAGGTTAGAGACAGATGTCAAATATGATCCAACGTCGAGCTTTTATAGCCTTGCTTCAGAACATGCGTCTTAGAAACACTGGTTCCGTGCACGGAGATCTTTGTAAATGCCTTACTACAAGGAGGCACCTGACTCTGTGAACCGGCCGCCAGACAGCTACGAGGGTAAAACTATAGAGGCTATTAGAGTAAATTGGCAACGGCTCAAATCTCACTGCCCAAACTTTTGGTAAGTCTTAACCAAGCTTACCAATAGCTAGTTTATGTAATTGACACCAGAGGCAAAAACCAAAAAATTGTTTCAGAATGTATTTTCAGCCAATTAGGTAAGAACTTTTGGATTTTGTAATAAATTCCCAGTGTTACAGAATGCAAATATGCCTCCTGTGTGATGGCTCATCAAACTTTAATAATACAGCATTAATATATTTTGCAAAGATGGCTATTGCCAATTTACTCTATTTACAAAAAAATATTTCAATGGTTGAGGTCTTAACGACGCCGGCAGGATTCGAACCTGCGCCCTCGAAGAGGAGCAGCTTTCTAAACTGCCGCAGTAACCACTTTGCTACAGCGCCGTCACGGTTCTTACCTCATTATACTTCTCTTAACTCTTGGACCAAACAACGAGATTAAAGGCAAAATACCATATAAAACAACACTGTAATCTACACAACACCGACCATAACGTTCACCCATCCATCCGCTCCCGCCATGCATGCTCCTAACCATGCAACCTCAGCATCCAACGGACACACAACACCTTGCACAATAGGGTACGCAAGTACTCGATTAGAATTTGGGAACAGCAGAGGAAGATGCGTATTAAGGAATTTCCCCAAAGTATTGTATACCCCTTAGTTAAACATCGTTGGACACAATAACGAGCAATATTGATGTTAGTAAGACTCACCAGATTCAAGTGAAGGCGAAGCTACATCTTGCAGTACCGGACCGTCTGGAAGATATATTCGGATCGGAACACTGCGAACGCTATACGCCCCATCCTTGTCCGGAGCGCCTGGTGTGTCTGCTGAGGGTGGTCTAGTATGTAATGACACGGACGAAGGTGGAGGAGAGGTAGTTCGAACAGGTGTCGTCGTCGGAGTGATCCTGGACGCAATCTTCCAGTACTCGTCAAAGTTATCTGTGAGACGCCATGAGACCCCTCGCTAGAACAAAATACAAGCTGCGTTACGCACGCTCTCGTATACCTTCCCAAATGCCATCTTGCTCAGCTTGACGAAGGCCCGTCATCCTCTTTGTATTGCCCCATCTCAAGAAATCAGCTTCCTTGAGCTGTCCCATAAATGCTTGTTTACATGCTTCTATACTTGGAGAAAGAAGGAGTTTGTCGGTTGGGGGCGCAGCGAGGTGCAATATCAAACGCAATGGTGTTAGCTGCTGGTCATTATTGCGTCTCCTTATAGACGATGAGACAGTATGAAAGTCATATAATAGACCAATTGACCAATGCCTTACATTACAGACGTCAGACTGACAGTCTCCGTAACCGCAATGTAATACACTCACCATCGCATCAATACCCTGTCTTCCGTTTCAAACCACCAGTCTTCCTCCTTGATTGCCTTCGCACCTACGCTATCGAATACAATATCCACAAGGAACCGCTTGATCTCCGGAACGAGCAGCGGAAGGTAGCTCACGCGTGGCGCCTGGATGAAGTAGCATTCCAGTCCGCGATCGCTGTTCGCGGGTAATTCTGCCGGATCGACATGAATTTCGAGCGGTACTGTTCCCTCCCAAGCCAGACGTCGGAAGAGAGTGGTCGATGCCGGGGTTGAGAATGCGGAGGGTGCAGTATCGTGTCTGGTTGAATAGGACATTGGCTTTGATAGAATGTGACAGTCAAGTGCAGATGGATCGACGCGTCGCGCATGTGTCCCCGTGATTCAAAGTCCGATCCTCCACGTATTTTCTCTGTACATCGGCATAGCACATTCATAATACACCCTCATCACGGTAAGAGCAACGTTAATAACTGCTGCGATGATAATACTACGACAGAAAATAGGGCATAATCGAAACAGGCGTCAGCTAAGATTATTCGAGGAGGAATCATGACATCTCGTAATGCTACTCATTTCTAAGAACATCTACACATACCATCATGAACACGCATTATACAGTAACACGATGAATTGAAACAAGTAACCGAATGCCAAGCATCAAACAGATGAGGCAATGTTGAATGTATCGTACTGTCCCTCATCTGTTAAAACAAATGTGGACTCTTCCTTCCGACAGAGACGGTGTGCGGGGTATTCACCGCGACCGCATGGGTCTCCTGTGGAAGCTGTGGTAAATCTTTCTCGACGTTCAGGTCCAATTTCTCAGTCGAAGCGAGGATCGAGCTGTACGCAGAACTCGTTTCAGATTCCCACTCGTCAGACATTCGTTCTCTCGAAGCTAGCGCACATGTCTTCGACCCATTCTTCAGGCGAGAGGCCCTGAAGATGTTTGGGATTTCCCTGAGCGGCAGAACGCGCCCAGTAAACACGAATAGAGACGCGTTTACGAAACCTGGGTGAGACAATCCTTTCACCCCGTTTCGTTCATTGATCGTTATGCATACGTACCTGAAAGAAGGAAGACACTATCACTGTAAGAACACGGATAGAAATGAGAGTTGATATAAGTCACTTTGTATGGAAGCATAAATGCGGCGGCGGCGCACCTGAAGATGAACACCCCTAGCGGCACCGTATGTCCAGTCCATTCGGCAAACCGACATGCAGCTATTGGAACAATCAGAATGGTGTACGCGATCTACTCACAAAACAACTGAGGTTTAGTACAGATGTTTCAAGATGAATGCATTTTGAAGCTTACTTACCGGGTACAATAGCATGTGCTTCGCTATTGAAACCATGTGAGCCTGGAGATCCGATGGCTCGTAGGCGTGATGAACCATCCGCGGAGTCTTTTGATCCATTGATCGGAGCCGGATTCTCCCGCCGCTTACAATAACCACTGGCAGATTGCCTCGGAGCTTTAGGAAAACCAGTACATACATAATGAAACTAGTTGCAGCAGAGAGGAACATCTATTTATCAAGTTATCTCAACATTTCACACAAGATGGTGGGTCTATAGTTGGTCCACTCACTATCATATATTCCAGGCTCATGAGCACAAAGAATGATCAGCACATGCTCAAGATGGACATTCAGGTTCAGCTGACTCACAGAAATTGTTCTGTCTCATATGGCTTGGAGATCCAGCACCAAAACCCAGAAATTCCGACTGCATGCTGCGAGTTAGCCGAATATTCTCAATGTTATCGGCGGACATCGTCTTACAGAAAGCACCCTTGGAAGACTCTTGGATAATAAACGGCCCTACCGTTACTACAGCGCCTACGAAGCTCCAACCTCCAACCAGAACGATGTACATGGAAATCCGCCGGATATGAACTCCGAGCACGAGGACACTAAAGGTATGCACGGCGATAGTCTATTGCAAAAAATCAAAGAATCAAATGATCAATATACACGCATCTAGTGAGCATGCTCCAGACAACGGACCATTATCCTAAGGGAGATAGTCAGCCTCATTGAATCAGAGGGGTTAAGCAATTGAGAACAACCAGAGTGCTGTACCAACGTCTGCGGCTTGCTTGATTGCACCTAACGGAAGATTGGTGTGAGCCGAACTAACAGTATAGAAAGCAACGGACTGTTCCCAACCAACCTTGCGCGGAGCAGAAGTTCCCAACTTCCACAGCCATATTATTCACCCACTTAGCATTCATGATTGATCCGATGGCTTTACAGGATTGAGAACAATGTTCGGATATTCGCACGCCGCGGAGCATACCTTGCAACAAGTCCGAGACCAGCAAGGATATCAGATAAGCAGTGACATGCGAACGGAAGACTGTATTGCTTGCTTTGTGATGACTCGCCCTCAAGGCAGCAATCTATTAACCACTGTGAGTATGAGCAAGGTCTGGCTAGCCTCCGGGGTCCTTACCGATATGATGACTAGCAGGAGAACGACTGCGGTCAAGGACACTGCAGAAACGGCAATCAAGACCTGGAAATTCGCCTTAGCTGCATAATAACAAAATATTCCTTGATCTAGCAATCTGATACCTCGACTCCGTCTATTTGCGCAGGCGTCAGGGAAGAGCGCAACACGAAAGCCATTTGTTTAGCACGATTACCGGCAGCCGTAGGTCCGTCGCACAAGCTACAGTAGGAATAATCAAGTACCGGCACCGCCGTATCAAACTGCCGGACCACTTCTTTACCCAGGACCAGCCTGTGAAGACGAACACTGTGCAGGCTGGGCGCAACCTAGAAGGCGTGCGACCACTGGTCAAAGTGGTAACAAGAAGAGATTGCAACTCTCGCACCCCACCATCTCATTCGTTCGTTCTATTTGAGGGGGCGCTACTGATTATTCGTCTACCACAGCAAATAGGAACAGAGCCGAAACGAGCGCGGTCAAGGAGACATCATCTAGGTCTTGATGGACGCCGTCAAATTAACGTATTTAAGTCCGCATTACGATGATTTCGACCGCCTCTGTATTCAACACATCAAGACCGCTGAGATGAAGACTCGATCTCAGATTCTCAGTAGGAACATTTATGAACCTCTTATTCAAGGATCAAGGCCACATCGCCCGCGAGTGACGAATTATGTCAGATATCATCAAATGCGATGGAATTGAAGTAAGATCGTTTCCAATTCGCTGACTGAGGGCTATGCAATTAGCAACAATCAGCGTTTCTGTCTGAGCTCTCGTGCTCTGGTCCCGTCAAAGTCAAAAACGCGAGGCGATGCGTCCTAAATAAGGTGAAACCGGCTATAATTAGCATGTCGATCTGCTCATTCTGGCTCTAGCTCGATAGATTCTTGGCAGTAGGGTATTTTTTTTAGAGAAGTACACGTAATGGAGCCAGTGACTATGGTATAGGCGACGTAGTGCTTCCACGCCGACTCTTAAATAATCTATAATACAAGTAATGCGGACGGACGCGTACACCACGAAAGTGTTTTTCGGCAACAATGGTACATGCGAATGGTGTTGGTGGAACAGAGTGCGAGTGAAACTGAATGAGCCACAAAGAAAACGAAAGCAAGGAACGGAACCAATAAATCAATAATAATAAATTCATACAAGAGCTGAAGCCGAAAAGCAAGTATATGCAAGTATAATGAATGACTAATACTTATGTTAATAGTATTTACGAGAGAAGCCTAAAAGGACAGAGTTAGAAAGGCTACTTGTAGTGGAATGCAGGCTTTGCTTACCATGGAGAAGCAGGGAATGCCTGTGGAACGGCAACACCGCGGTTACCGTCTCCATTGTAGGCCGAGGGTAAGCACTCGGTGCCGTGCATCGCGGAAAAATATTCCACATCACGGCCCGACGAGTTATGGCTGTCACCGGAGTACGGAGCCATGTAGTTGGTCAGGTCATCATAGGTCGCCACCTCGCCACCGGCTAATGACACTGGCGGAAGCATAGTGGTCGGCGTCGGATCCGACGAGGGCCGCTGCATCTGGTCTGCATCGGCAGAGCGCTGACTAGCGTTCGTATTTATAAGACCCGGGAATTCAAATAGCAGTGGGGATGGCTCTCGGGACAGGTCGCTGTCCGAATATGTCAAAGCGAGCTCCTGATGGTCAGGTGAGTGGTCGACGTGAGGCCGTGGGACATGCGAGTAGTGGTCAACGCCGTGCAAATCTATTGAAAAGATAATATCGGTTAGATTTCATTTCTGTGGTGACGCCAAGAGACCCAATAAAGCGTACCTAGCGCTGAAGGAATCGCCACAGGGCTCTGTTGAACAGGGCAGATGTAAGTCCACACCGTCCCGGATTGAACGGCCATTTGAACATTGTGGACGTTTCCCCAGTGCCTAAATGGCTACATCAGCCCGGTTGCAAAAACGAGAAAACGATTTCAACTTACTCTGCCAAACGTGACAAGAGGTTGTTGCATACTCCATAACTAACCTCGGCAAAGCGCCCACGATTCGCTGCAGTTAAGTCTTCCAACGAGGCTGACATCTCCTGTTCCGCTCGGCTTTCTAACGCGAAGGCGCGAGCGGCAATTGCCAGTGGAAAATCCAGGAAGGGTATCGCGGTGACTGCTCGGGTATCAACTTGCTCCATCATTACAATAACATCTAGGATCGTCCTTGCAGACTATAAAATAATGAGGCAGTGTACCGCGAAATTTCACACACGTCACTCACCGATGACACAATATCGGGCATGCGCGGCAGGGAGGGAATCGAACGGAAGACGGAAGGAGCGTGGCTCATTGCAATCAAAGAATTCAAAACCAAATGAAGGAATATGAAGACCATTTCTTGTCGGTCTTGTACAGCACGGCGCAGATTTACAATGTTGAATTCCAGGTGAGAAGGAAGGGAAAGTTGTATAGACAGTAAACGCGATCGAATGTCCCTGTAAAGTCATGTTAGACCTATTTCAGAGGCTCAGGAATTTATTACTCACTGTAACTCAGCTTCGGAAGTCCCTTGGGTATTTGCATTGAAATTGAAATTGAGGATCCGAAGCATATTGTCACGAATACCCAGAAGTTCATACAAAGTGAAATATGGAGACAAAGCAAGAGAAGCATCTGAAGGTGTAAAAGTGGACTTTGGCAATGCAGTCGTGCATGCTTGGAGACTAATGTTTGCAGGATTTCCCGTGACTGAGTCGTACAGTCAGAACAGCCAACTATTATACGATGGGGAAACTTACTCCAAGAGGAAATAATGTCCAACATGACAACGCTCCACCAGGTCTGGCAGAGATCCATCCGCTCGTGGTCACTGGGGAGTGATTGGATGGTCGCCTCGTTACCGAGGCCCAGTTCCAAAGCCATCTGCACAGATAACTGGAAAAGCAGATGCGTCTAGCTCTTGCAAAATTGGATAAAGCCGGTCGCAAGACTTACAGAACTGTAGAGGTTGAGACCATTTTCTCGTCCTGATCCGTATTCGCACCATGATAGCAACAATAAGGAATGGAGGTTCTCAACCGACGGAGTGTAGGCAAGAGGAACAATCAAATCCTATAGGGATTGATTTGAGGCGACAGAGTCGCAGGCACAACTGGACGCGAGCGTACCTTAGCCATTTCCAAGTAGGGCTCTCCGAGGAACACACGAGAGGCATTTGGGAACTCGGGAGATGGAGAGAACCTAAGCATCAATAGCAATGAGCCCAGTGGCGACAAGTCAAGAAGCAATTACGAACCTCATTGAAAGCCCTGCGATACAGTTTGCGAATGGTGCAGGCAACGCTTGCTCCATCATGGTATGGCGAAGGGCATCATAATGCAAGAAGAGAAACCTTGGACCAAAGTTTTCTGAGAACAATTCGAGAGCATGTTCCATATATTTTGGGGAGGGGAACCCAGGACGAGCTGAGTCGAAATAATTTTGCATGTTGTGAGAGTAGTCGTCAATGGAGAGGTCCCTGAAGTTCGACAGAGGTGATATCCCGGCCAGAGATGGTGTAGACTGTCCAGAACGACGACCGCTTAGGTGTGGGATATACTCGGCCGACGCCACGGGCCCAATGTTCCTCCTGTAAAGATGATGGTGAGTGGGCCACCAGCAGTGGTTAACAAAGAAAGTAGTCATACCTTATACTAGCCTTTCTTACACGATGAGGACCCACTTCGCTGTTTGGACTTCCCGTACGGTGACCGAGTGCATTCGGCAGGCGAGGTAGAGCGGGCGGTAAAGAAGAGGATCGAGACTGCTGGGAGTGGTAATGACTAAGAGTAGGGAGGGTGGAGCGACGCGCAATGAAGCCCGGGGACTCAGTGAACGATTGGTTATCTTCACTGTCCGAGGGATTGAAGTTCGAACTCGACGTGGATATGCTACCTGAACGCTGAGCATGGTACCGCTCTCGATCCCGAAACCTGCATGCACTCTTTGAGAGTCGGCATGCCTCGCACTTAGCGGAGCCCGGGGATTGGTGGCATTTAATCTTCTTCGCGCGGCTGTAGTGATAGAATGGGGACGGTGAGTGGACGAAGGGGGTATGCGCATAGACACAGACGAGCATACCATGTATCGCATGCCGTGACAAGACGAGAACGTTTCTTCTGCCTCGAGTTAGCTGCTTGAGGGTCTTCTAAGATGAAGCGAATGCCGTCCATTGTCAGACAAAGGGGAAGAGGCGCGGGAGGGTATGTCTGCGGGTACAGTACGAGGCATCCTGGACGCGTCCGTACTGTTTATAGGTCCAGTTCACTTCGTCGGCTACAGAAGTGCGCGTACCCATCACGTACAAGTTTGATCAAGAGTAAGGGTCCATGTTTGACTCCGAATCTGCAGATTCGATCGGTCCATTTTTTATCTTTAGATTTGAGAAGGGTGTCAAGGGGTCCAAGCATGATGCCGAGTCTCTCGCCACAAACCCAACCAGGGTTGGTCAAGAAATCGCATAATCTAGCCTAAGTCAACACAGATTACGCGACCAAAGCATGCATCCTTCTTCTTTGTCGCTTGCAGTAAGTTGGCCCATGGTCAGGATGTACAAACGTTAAGATAACCCGAAAAATTGCGCACACATACGATCAGTTGCCCATTATTAGGGTTCGATCCTACCCAAATCACTAGTACGTTAGGAAGTTGTAGTCTGGTGTGCGCGTGAGGAAAACTGACGGTGTTCGTGAACATCGTGAAACGACCTCTCAGTAGGTACGTCACGATACCAATGATCCGCCCATCAGATGGAGAGCAAGTTGCCTCGGCTAGAAAGCTGCTTTCTGGCATACTTCCGGGGATAGACGTGAACTTCACCCTACAAGTGGCTGTTCACCTCAGTGATAGCCACCTGAATTATGATCTATCCGTTTTAACATCACAATTTACTTTACTAAGTCTAAATACTCTATACCAACAACAGAACCCAAGGTATAGGTCATTAGTAGGTTGAAATCACACCACGGCGCGGAATAGCGGGGCGAGTAATACATACAGTGGGAAGAAGCTTCGTCCGCGCTCTACAAGAAACGTGTCCGTTCCGCGCCGATGGCATTGCCTCGGGACTCGCCAGATGCCGCCGAAGGCTCAAATTTGTCCTCTGACAACAAGGGTGGTCCAGCCACGTCTTGCTTGAGTGCGCCCTGTACCTCAGCGTTACCATCATCGTCGTTCCCAGTATCAAACAGGACTTCAGGTCGTCCGTTAGCATTAGGACCCAGTGCATCAGTCTTTAAATAGTAAGAATCCAGAACAAGTATGTTAGTACATATACACAGGTATAAGTCAAAGATAGATAGGAACACAGCGGAACAGATACGTGAAGCATCAGCATCCAACGAGATGTTGATGTTAAACACGTTTTGCTGTCTCGGGAGCGACACATCCGCACCGGAAGGCGGCCGCGCCAAGGCAGGCAACTTAATGAAATAGACGCCTCAGATGTAGACATGGTCGCGGACCGTGAAACAGTGCACAGCCATTTCACTGCCCCACTGGTAACCATGTCCCCATTTGTGTTAAGGCTCGTTTCTTCCCAAGGATTCGCCACATCCAGCTACTAAGTCGGTGAACAAGAAATTTATTGCTCACCGTGAAGTGGAGTTCATGGCTTGATCCGGATAGCTGTGAGGTTGAGAGTAAGCCTCGCTCCTCAAGCTCCAGAGAAGGCTCCATATCATTGAAAGTATTGTGATTTCGTCGTGCGTCGTCTTTTGAAATCTCTGTATCCACAGACTTGTGGTATTTGTGATATGTAAATAGACCGATACCTAAGAATAAACTGAAATTAAAATAACAAACCATGTATAAGTGCTGAGCAGCTAAACTTACCACACACTGTCACAGCAACACCAGCTACGTTGAGCGGCGTGAGCTCATCGCCAAATAACCACGCAGATACAGAGATTTGAGAGACTTCTTTTGCGATCCCAGCAATCGACATAGGGACAACCCCCGCACGCTGGATGATGCTGCGCATCGGTGTTCAACTACGGTTGCTAATTGGTGAAACTTGGATGCTCACTAGTATTCAGATAAAACCATGGCGAAGGCCATTGTCCCTGGAATCGCAAGAAACAGCACGGTGCTAAGTATATGCGCCACGCTGTCGAAGAACTTGCTCCTGATTATAGCAGCCCAGTCCTCGAGTGCCAAGCTAACGATAGCCAATGATGCACCCATGATCGGGGCAAGCCAAAAGATTGTAGCCGCTGGATTATTCATACCCATCTTCTTGCTCTTCAGCAGCAAGTGAGTTAGACTCCATCGGAGACCGCTTAAGGCGCTCGCAGTTGTGATCAGGACGAAACCGAGCACTTCAAATTGAGTATCTGTTGCGACCATCATGAGGACACCGACGAAGATAAGAAGTATAACCCCGACGAGTCGAAAGGAGAACTTCTCCAGTTTGAAGATAAAAGCAAAGAAGAGGACGAATATGAGCGATGATGATTTACACATGGCTGCAGTAAATAGCACTCAGTAAATAGGAAACCTTAATTTGCAGAAGATACTTACTGTAAAATGATAACGTGATGAGTTTGAGAGAGAGGTTTGAGAGGCCAATATCAAAACCTGTCGCAACACCGGTTGGAACGGCCTTCTGCCTGGACAGCGCGTAAGTATCGTAGACATGACAAGTCAACGCACGTAAATAACTAACAAGTAGTCCTTTCTACCGGGGTTATGAGGTGGTCGAAACTGAGACGGCCATACATTCCTCACAGCTGCCGCAAATCCAAACTGCACGAACATGTGTAGCATGGTGACGAATAAAGGCCACGTAAATCCGTAGTGGTCTGGAGAGAACATCCATTTATTGTATACAGAAAGAAGGATTGCGACAATGAACCTAGATAATTAACTTTAGCTAAGCGCGTTAATATCAAATTCAATAGGGAACATACCAAGCTGCGATGAATAGCGAGTTAATGATTGCATTCCTCCACCAAAGTCTCTTTCGTTCTTCCTTAGTAGGTGGCAGTGATTGCACATAGTCTTCTTCATCTACACCTCCTTCGTTGTACGCCGGTGGCTGAAGATCTGGATCTGTCTGTAATGCATTGTAGTCGGACCTGGAAGGCATTTCTTCCGTGTGTCTCTCCGCCAAAGTCTCGATTGTTTTCACAGATGAACAGACGTCACGCCGGCGAAGCTCGTTACTCCTAGCTAACGCACGAGCATTTGTTGAGAAAGCAGTGTTCCAGAAACTTGGATGAAGCCAGGAAACGCGCTGAACGACGTTTTTGCACTTGCGACGCGACGGACGCGCTGTCAATGTCCAGTGTTTACGTCACGTAAACGGGTAAAAGTTGCCACGATTACATTTTCTTTTTTTGGAAGGGCATAACAATTTGCTAAACCTGCTATGTGGTCTTATAAGTACACTTCGTGTCAAAGTTAAACTGCTATCGCGTATCTCAGATGTTATGTTTTCCGTTCTTTTGTCATATGATCACTGGAACCCATGGCGAACACCAGTCTTTGGCTCAATGCTCCACACAAGGTTTTACCAAGTAAACCTAGTTCACTGGAACATGCAATTCAAAAAGCAGAAGGCTTCGTCGTAAGATTACTGAATCCTCGTGGTTCTATGATTTCCACCATACCAGGGTCGAGCTTAACCCATATTCTATCCCGGATCAATGCGGCTGTCCTTCATCCCAAAGACATATCGTAGAATGATGATCTGCAGCGCTAGTGCCACGAGCAAAGAAGTCTAGAAAAGTCACCGACGAATTGGCTAACCTGTCTCAACATATCTACCCTTGGGTCCGAGGAGCCGTTCTCCTGAAACAACAGGCGACTTGCTTATGGTAAGAAGTTCCAGTCTCCCTTTCTCCTCCCTGTACTCCCTTTGTTTGGGTCGGATTGAGAAACACGGTGCGTAGGGATGTTAAATGAGATATCAATTGCCTGATGTCTTTGTGTCTTCTATCCAACGTGCGTGCGAGCACCGACCCTGTAAGACTTTCTTCGTCTAAAGCTTCTAAGCTACTTATCACCGATACCGTTCAGGCTCGCTGATTCGCAGGTTCCACCGATCACCAGACCCGTCGCATCACCAACCCTGGTATCGTGGTTCGGGAACGGAACCGTGACTATACATTCAAGGCCCAGGACCCTCGGCAGATGCCTGCAACGTTCGAACACATGATATGACTACTGGTTCTCGTTTGGCGAACAGCGTCCGGCGGCTTCGACACAGGGCAACATGTACGGCTCCAAGAAAACTTTGTGAACAACCTTCTAGCGCCCATGCTTCCAGAAGTAACGACGTGGCGCTTGCGTTCTGTGGGTCCAAGCAATGCCAGTTCCGGTAGCATCTCAGTTAAATGGGCGCATGCTGCCCTGCTTTCCACCTACCACAGGAAGTCGTTCCTATTGTGCAGCAAACAGCACAATGAGTCTCCAATACAGTTAGTAAACTGCTTAGATCTTTTGACGTGATAAATATGTCTTCATGACTGGTTAAGGCTATTGCCCCTGTCTGCTCTCCATTTCCTTTTTTCCATGTTTTTTTAGTCGCATCAAAAGATGGAAATGTGTTCGTGCCGTCCATCCGCCAAGCGAAGTTATCAGTTACGCGGGACCTTTCGGTACATCAGAACGTACATGCAATTTCGACCAGAGGATAGGACATGCATCGTTCGTCCTTCCGTCTCCTGTCGCCCACTGTCAGTGCGGTGACTACTCGCGTGTCCTCACGCGCCCTGGTACCGATGTGCGCTCGCCTGCAAAAATCAATCGCTAGCATTGCACCCTTGTACACGTGAAATGCGAGCGCTATTCACTGTAGCCGGGGATTGTACAGAAAGTCGTGACCATTAATTATCTGGATGCTCCACAGGCCCAAGACGATTGGAATCTGGAGCTAAAGGCAGACGAGTGAACGATCTGACCATTTCTCCTGAAACTTTGCCTTAGCTACCTCAGAGCTTGATCCTGGACGATAAGTGAGAGGACCATGACGATCATCCTGAACTCGTGGTCGCTCACGAGGGGTGTCAGAGGGGCACATATATGATCTACCTTCATGCAAGTTTGATCGGCACAGGAGTGCGATCAATTAGTGCATCACACCTCTTCTTCTAGCACTGAAGACTCTTCCGCCATCAATACCCTGTGCGTGCGAACAAGGAACTTACTGCTCAGTTCCTTCAAAGATATTCTCGATAAGGCAGGATAAATCGTATCGCAAGCAAAGATGCCGCAATGTTCGGAAGTGTCCGTTATGGAGTCTAATCTTCGTCGCTTGAATCCGAAAACAGCGAGTATGGCGAGCGAAGCGTCGCTCCAAGTCGCGAGCAGGAATCTATCCTTCCTTCAGTTCCATTGAGTCGTCGACTCACTCCCCACAACCTATTCAATGAAGAGTGCCAAGGATCACACGAACTTCATCCGAATCGGAGGACCGTGGTAACACTGAAGGCAGAGTGATGGCAGTATCATTTAGTCCAGCGGGCCGTCAGCTCAGCCAGATAGGTACGTTGAACTAATGCCGTGGCGCCGACATCGGAGGATGTGAGGTATCATGCATTGCCGATGATAGAGTGTTTTGACAAGTGATGCAATATTGTCTAGCAGAGGCAGGGAAGAGCGCAAGGCATAGGATAAGCAACCGAGCGTCACTTGTATAGGTCGGGCACAGACATTCCATCACAAAGCTGATGGGCGTTCAGTGGATAGGAAAATCGGAAGATCTAGGCCACTAGCGACAGACTGAGTACTCCGAATACTAACTTTGCTTGTGAAAAGTATTCATGAAAGTTGAAAACACGGGTTATGGTTGTTTTCAGTGGCAATGTGGGAGATCGCTTCCAAAGTGATAAGATGATATTCCCGAACAGGATATCGAAGTCGATTACGTACAAATATTACCTATTATGGTGTAACTGTACAGTTTCTTATTCCCACAATGAACTAAGATTTTGGCACGCATCAAGACGAGAGAATCAGAGAAAGCATTTCACGTCGACGACAAGTATAACGAAAATATGGCCGAACGTTTGCGCTACCTCGGCTCGCTGCCCGGACATAAGGGATGGGTAACTGCGATTGCGACGTCGTCTGAAATCCCGGACATGCTTCTCACTGCGTCACGGGACAAAACAATCATCGTCTGGCAACTCACCCGCAATGAAGAGTCTTATGGCTACCCAAAACGCGTTCTTACCGGCCATAACCACTTTGTATCTGACATAGTCATATCTTCCGATGGTCAATTTGCTCTTTCCTCTTCATGGGACCATACGCTTCGTCTTTGGGACCTTAACACCGGTTCAACAACTCGCCGTTTCGTTGGCCATACATCCGATGTCCTTTCCGTCAGCTTTTCGGCCGACAACAGACAAATTGTGTCTGGCTCGCGCGACCGAACTATCAAGGTCTGGAATACGCTGGGCGAGTGCAAGTTTGATATTAAGGACGATGGTCATACAGAGTGGTGAGTTTGTACCAGTTTTCTATCTTTAGCCATACTCTGAGCGCACGTACTCTAGGGTTTCTTGCGTTCGCTTCAGTCCGAATCCAACAAATCCTGTAATTGTCTCTTGTGGTTGGGATAAAGTAGTTAAGGTGAGATTCACAGGTTTTAGTTGTTTTAGACCATCATTTTGGAAATGATGTTACACCTACATATTTGCTACTTCAGAGGGTAAACCCCAATGAGACTACTTTTTCCACCAAGATCTCTGACCTTTCTTTGCGTTTCACCTAATGTTTCAAAATAATATGTTGCTAATTATTCATTTCTACAGGTCTGGGAGCTGACGAAGTTCAGGCTACGGACAAATCATTATGGTCACACTGGCTACATCAATACTATTTCTGTTTCTCCGGATGGTTCTCTGGCTGCGTCTGGCGGCAAGGATGGCATTACTATGCTCTGGGACCTTAACGATGGCAAGCATCTGTACTCGCTTGAGGCCGGTGATATTGTCAATGCCCTTGTCTTCTCACCGAATCGTTACTGGTTATGCGCTGCAACTGCTAGTTGCGTGAAGATCTTTGACTTGGAGAGCAAGTACGATCGAGTTTGATTACTTTTATTTACAGGGCGCTTACGGGTTGTTATTCAGGTCAATTGTCGACGAACTTAAGCCTGAAGCCGAGACTGGCTCTAGCGGCTCGTCACCAGAATGTGTCTCTCTCGCCTGGTCGGCCGATGGGCAGACTCTTTACGGCGGTTTCACCGACGACCTTGTCCGCGTTTGGACTGTCGTCTCCTAAAATCTTCAGGGTTATGTGCCCGATCATTCGCAGTGGAGATGTGGTTGCCCTTTCTGTATGCTGTAGATGGTCTAGGAAATGTATTCTAGCATCACTCGACGCTGATGCGATGTGCAGTCAATGCAATCGGCTTTGCTTCTCAATGATTGCATCGATTCTTATCGCACCGAATGTTATTTCAAACTTCAAAAGAATCCGAAGGACTTAAGAACGAATAGAATTCGGCGCATTCAATTTTGACGCCGCTCGACAACAATGGAGACACTACGTAAAGTTAGGATCCAGTCGTGCATCAAAGCCGCCCAGTGTGAGAGTCGCAGCGTACATGCAGACCTGACTCTGGGGCCTCCAAGCGCCCAAAAAATGTTAGGGGAAAGAAAGATCCGTCTGCTTCTTCCACACTCGACTTGACATCATTGTTTTGCGCCGAATGCGACGGGAACGGGAGGTCAATCGTCAAAGCGATGGTCGAAGCGAAGTTTTCCCAGTTTGGTAATTCTTCTGGAGGGGCACGTGTACCCAAGGTATCAGATAATTTCTTTATCCATTTGACGTCAGTTGCACTCATGCAGCATGTCCATGAGCTGAGATTTACTTTCCCTGGATAATCAATGGCAGGAACGGACATCAAGCAAGTGACCAACGCGACTAATCCTCGTAAATTTAGGCCGTCATGTTAGTCGCATCACAAGTGCCTTGTGTTATGAGCTCAATAAGAACATGAATCTCTCTGTATTCGTCATTGATGTCGGCAATCCGACGGCAGAGCGGGTCATGTACAACGGCTAAAGCAACGATCTCCGCACCTCGCAGTCTGCACATCCGGAGTGGGACCCCATAACCCGAGTCGGATCCACCACTGATGCTCAGGTTTGATGTTAGCAGCTGGCATACCGTGAGCAATGGAGGCGCGAGGGTCAAAGGGTCGAAGCAATTGAAGAGATGCACCCCCGAGAACCATACGGTCGTCCGTGCCGACAATGAACCACCGCTTCTCATAGTCATTCATCCCCTACGGTAAAGTCGAACCACATGCACACACGCAGCCAGAACCTCACCTCACTTCTTCTCCCCGTTCAGCCAGGCCCAGACTTTTCCTGCAGTAGCGAATGTACCACCTCGTCTCGAAGTTTCCTCAAGTTCTTCTATTAGTCTAGCCGGAGGTCGTTCACCTATCGGATTCCCGTAAGCCATGTCGCTAGGACTGCTGACATTAATATCGACGCGTACGCCGCGCCGGCGAGAACGGTCATGCCTAATAACGAGAGCTACTTGTCGCGGCCCATTCGCAAGATGCACGTTCTGTTCGGAACTTGTTGTTCCTGACTCATGTACGGCAAACGCGAGAGCGACGCTTGGTGAAGGAGTTATTCCGCCCGCGGACATAGAGACGGACGAAAGGCCAGGGACGGCTTGTTCATTGTCCATGTCAAACCCATCTGCAGTATCTGAATTGCTACTAGAGGGGAAAGAGGGCGGATGAACCGGGAGAAAAACATTCACTGGTACTCGTTTCGGCACATACGCTCCTGATACGCCAAATAAAGCAATCGTCAATGCTTAGAATGCAGAATGATAATAGCAAGACGTGATATGTGAATGAAGAATGTGAAACGGAGGGAACGAGATTAGACTGCGGAAGCCCAACCGACCCTGTGCCGCCACTCTTCGATCTTCCAGAAGTCGAAGACAACGATTAAGCAATGGGGTTGTGGCACTTACCCTTCAATACAGCGTCCAATTCCTCCTCAGGAGCGCCCATCTCATCCACATCACTTCGCTCATCTTCACCTTCAGCCATCAAAGGTTCCGCGACCCATTCAACAGTTTTCAATGTTTCATTGATCCAACACTGCTCCCGAACGATCTGCATCATAGCATGATCGAACGCAAATCAGCGGAATTGCAAAGCATACAGTACGTTGGAGCGGAACACACCTCAAGCACTGCATAAACTTCTTTCAAAGAAGCAACTGGCACACGTTGAAGCAAAAAACCCGCCTCGTATGGTACCGTAAGCCGGAGCCGAAGAGGTGGATGCGCGTTTGATGGTGATTTCTGATGTAATAAACATCAGCTCCTTGATGAACTAATATGATGAAAATCTCACATAAACTGCTATGTATCGTTCGGACGGCGGTAAAGTAGGGTTCACCTTTGTGTTCAAAGTGAGCGCATCGTTCAACCAGAGGTTCTTTTAACTCACAAGAAGTCCGATCCAACTCCCTGGCAAAGGCGCCAACTGCATCTGTAGAGCGAAATTCATCCCGCCGCCAGAATCAATGACTTGTTGGATTTCGCGCATTCGGGAATGCGTCATCACGATACCACTAGAGTGTCCCCCATCCGTGAAGTCAAGCACCCACACATTATGCAATTCAGTATCATTCTCTGTATTCACCGTCGGTGTTAGTGGTGGTGCGATCAATATGTGATCCAGTGCTGCTAGCATGGACGTTCCTGGAAGGCGAAAGTAAGGACGGCCGAGGTTTGGGCGCTGCTCCGGGCGGCGATCTGGCAACGAACTTGAAACCGATGACAGCGTGAGCGTTGCAATTATTGCACCGGGAGGACGTAGCCGTCTATGCGTCAGCTGCTCTCGGATGACCGAGAGGGGAACGTCAAGCTTTGAGAACGGATCTGCCGTGTCACGCCGGGCCAAGGGTGACTTAGAGTGGTCCCTTTCAACAGCCTGCACCAGCGAGTAGTAGGCAAGAGGAGCTAGATGGACTAAAAATGACATTGATGGTGCGACAAGATACGGTATCGCCAAGGCATGAGCACGAGAAAGGAAAACATCTAAATGGACAACTGGAGCTTGTAGCATGCTGATAAGATCCATGAGTCTTCAGTCTACACAGGCGGAACTCTACTCACACTGAGAGTGATTCGGCTTCGGTTTTAGAGATTCGATCAGTGACAGTAGTCATCAATCCCGTCTCATTGAACCAACGGATCCCCTGGTCCCCTTCTTCTTTTGCAAGTGAGTCTAGTTTCATAAGATAACTCAGGTGAGTTTGAATATCTCTACTGATAAAAGCAGCACGCATGCTGCTGTCGACATCGTTCTTCTGGACCTCCTCAAGAAAGCCATTCCATGTACGAAGAATGAAGGCGTCTAATGATGCAGATCTTTCGGCGAGAGCATTTCCGGAGCTGCCTGATGGAAGTGCATGTGACGTCTTGATATTCGAGACAGCCATGTGGTTTATCCGAGAACCACGTTCAATTCTTTGGATAGCCAGGTCGACGTCGATGACAAGAACCTTCCCTCCAAGCATAATTGTCAATCTTCCGTCCTTGTCTTCTTCTTCCTTGAATACCTCCATCCCGTTTCTCTTACCCCAGCCCTCAAGTCGGGAAATACACCAATCAACTATTTGATCGTCGTCCAAAGGTATAGGTTCCCCATAAACGACGGACATTCCAGAGCTCTCGCGTGCTCTAAGTGCCTTGACCCGTTGCTGTGCATCTCTCCTTGACTTTGGTGGGGACATGTATCAGTGTGCGTTGATACAGATTGAACGTGAATTCACAGGCGGCCTTACTGACAGTGTAAAGACTATTGACGAGCGCTGTATTTTGCCGCAGGATCGAGATAAACTTGTGATCTGAAGTAGAGAAAGACGAGAATGAATGAAGAGTGCGGGAGAGTACTGCGGACACGTCGACAAGGTCTTTTAATAACGGCAGAGGGTCATCAGGTGAGTTGGAGGCGAATGGATGCAAAGTATGAAGCGGTGCATCAGTTGGAAACCGGTCGTGAGGTGCATTCTTCAGCAAGTAAGACAAGACCGTCTCATTGTTGTCCACAGATTGGGCGGCCGTTGGTGAAATGTCCGTCATAATTGGTCGTGCTTTTGTTAGAGTTGTGTCTTCGTACCTTCGTTCGTTCGTTCGGTACCACAATTCGCGTTGAGTAGTGCACGTGATTTCATCCAAATAATTACAAATAGCATCAGGAAAGATTCCACCTTCTCACATTCGTGCTTCTCCTATCGTATTTCCTGAAGTTCCAAGGCTGCTATCTCAGTAGAAATGCTTTAGCTAGACACAATCTTGCTAATTATCTCGTGGCGAATGCTCTCGTTGATGGTATCAAAATCACACGTCTAATTTTACCGATGTTTAGATGTCTACTGTGACTAGTGATAGTCTAGGCTAGAACATGATGCGGCAACGCAACATAACGAGATACTTGGACACCGAAGACAAGTGTTAGTTAATATTGTCAAGCTTCTCGTTCCTCCGTATGCAAGCTGCTCATTTCGTGTTGAAGGGGAAATAATAAGGAACTTATCGATCTCAGCAAGAAGATGTCTAGGTGGTCGAATACGGTGTACTGAAAGACTCCGACCCGCACAGGGATTCGCAGACGGCTCATCTCGTCCTCGGCAATGGACAAGGCTGTGCGTTTGACAACATACAGACCTATACTCTAAACTGCTTATGTACAGCCGCCCACCGTGACAACCATGGTGTATAACCGCAAGGGGAAATACCAGGGAACGATGGTATGTCGACCCCCGAAGACAGCAAAGTTTACCTGAAGCATTGCTCATCACTGGATCAAAATCAAGCTCAAAAGTCTCTCATTCGGTCAGCCGACCCTTATCAAAATTGTGGCCAGATCTTGGAATACTTTTGTCAAACACGCCATAAATGAACGCCAACGCACGACGTGAGCATTTATATCAATTTAAGTCGATATTACTTTTGTCAACGAAAATAACAAATTTGATTACAGTTTGAATATAATCCAAACGTAGTATCGCAACACTGGTAAATATCTCTCATTCCCTCAGGATTGATCAAACCAGGATCCTGATAGCGAGCGTCTAACAGGGCGCACTCCATGATGCGGCACGGATCGCCACGGACGAACTCCAAACACAGAAGTTGAAGTTTTGTAGAAGGTACCATGAGTCCACCACTATGTAACCGGCATTCGACTTGGGGAAAATGCAGAAGATCAACTTCTTAGCAACACGATCGCTGCTCCGAAGGCGTCAAACAGTTAACATCCAGGGTGTTTCCGTACTGACATTGCTCCATGTTGTTTTACTTTACGAAATATTGCTACACTGATAGAAGCATCATTGATGATGATGAGAGAGTGACGTCCGGACAAAGCCTATCCTGATGATTCAGAATTTGATGTTGCCTTTGCTCGAAGCACACGCTTCTTTCTCAGTTGCGTCGGATCGATAGACCGCGCAGCATCACGCATCGCGCACATCCGACAACCCAGACCCTGGATGGTTGGTCGGTTATTTTAAGTTCCACTTGGCAGACCGTTGATTTACCTTTGCTCTATAAATAACTCATGCTTCGTGCTGCGGTCTTGATGCACCGCACAACTGAGTTCGCAAGATCACCTGAGCCTACTAAATGCCATGGTTTCACGACATTGCCTATTTGAAAATTCCAGAAACGGAATGACATTTCTCAGCATTCAGAGAAAAAACATTGTTTTGGTTTTCAAAAAATTGTTATTTGTACCTTGTGATAAATAGAGTACGCTGGAAACTCGAGAGTTATTATTATAGCATGCTTCAGGGAAGAGGAGAGGTCTGCTAAACATATGGACTTGTCTTTCTAGGAGACTTTTCCATGTAACCAACTTTTATATCAGAACATTCTATCCAGAGTTTGATTTGTCTTCAAGTTGCTGCGCCAAATAACAGCTAGACAAGTCCGATTTCAAGCATTGGAAGTGAGCAGTAGTAAGGGGAATGCCAAAGGCTAATAAGCAATGCACAATTGAATTTATCGGCTTTATAGAATCTACGAGCAGGTTTTTCATCGCATACACAAGACAAGCGACTTCAAGCAAGCGTATCCTTATTTACCTTCACCTTCACTGGGGAGCACGTCTGAGCCTTGCAACTGTATGGCAGTATTCAAGTTATGAGGCCAGTATGTCGACAAAACTCACACCTATCATTGCATTGAATTACTGAAACAAGACAGGATTAGAGTCCGGATGAGATTTCTATGGTTGGCCTAACTTAAGCCACTGGTACACTGACTCCGAAGTCCATGTCTATCATAGGTAAACTGGTAGCCTGTTAAACGTTTTTGAAACGCAGAATACAATAGAACATGAGGACGGCCGAGTAAAAAAATGGTAAATCTCGTTCAATCTGGACAAGGACTCGGAGTTGATCGGTGACTTGACTGCTGTACCAATTGTAAATTATCGCGACTGCCACATAATGGCATCCGAACAGGTACTTCCATTGTGATTGTAGCAAGTTGATCAAGTCTCGGGGCGGAGCGGGCTGAGACTCTCGGGATTTGGCGCGTGGCTCGGACGTCGGCTGGAGGCAATACTCGGAGATGCAGTCGCTTGCACTATGACGCGGTGTTTTACGAGTATGCATGCATATGTCGATAACCAAGAGAATGCAAGAGCGTCGGCCTCCTAGGTGACTTAAAGAGCCTCCGATTAGTTTTACATATTTGCAATGGGCTAAGCGATACATTTTGATCCGTTATCCTCGTCTTAGATGTTCACTTTCATTACGCGAATGGAACCGGTAAAATAAAAGTACAAGACAAGATATATCATAGAACAAAATCTTCCATTTAGCTCGAGCAGAGATATACTTTAGTAGGGTGGACGGGGTCGTCGTACGATAGCGAAACCAGTGCGAATTTGCAAACCTGGAGCACATGAATACAAGGTGCCATGACAAACGGCACAGGTTCTCAGCTCTTCAGCGGATATCCAAGGCATATGACCGATGAGACAGTGACGGGAGTAATTTTCATACAGGTAGTGCTAGATCATCAAGTCCGATGGATCCAAGTTACCTTGGTACGCGTTGAGAAGGACTATCTTGTCCTAATCCGAGGACGACCTCGTTATCTCTCTCGAACTGTTTCAAAGGCACAGACGTTCGGTTCAGGTCTATTGATACCTCAGATTTGGAATTTCATGATATCTTGATCTATCCACAGTTTCAAACCAGAGAAAAGACGAATTGAGGAAAGTAGTTCTGTCATGATTGGCCAATTTAGTTCCGCAATTAATTCTGGTGGTCGCCGAAACTGGGATTATAAGCGTTCCAGTTAGCAGAACGAGAGAAATTGGTTTCAATAAGGTTCAGTACCTTCGGGAGCGAAAGTCAATAATGTCCAGTGCGGTGAAAGTGGTGTGCGACAAACTTGTGTTTTCATTAAATCATCCGACGTTGGACAGGATGGTAGCACGTGACTATGACCTCGCGTCGCGTCGCGTTTTCTGTCGGAGATGAAATCACGGTAGATGGAAAATGTCATATTGCCGAGCTTCTGGTCTCCCTTTCAATACTACCAGTGTTGAGATGGTAGCTATAAGTGTCTGAATTCGATATCAGTTTAAACGTAAGCTAGATTTCGATGTGACAGAAAGCGGCGTATTGCCCACACTTATCACCTGCTCTTCTGTTCATCTAGGTGTTTTCACCGATCCTCCGCTTTGACATGATATTAAAACGATAGCTCGATCGACAAATCAAAAGGCATCTAATACTTTGTCCCAAACCACCATCTCTCCATAACCCAGCTTCCCTTCTGTGCTTCTGAGTTCTCTATTCCAAAATCCACGCGGCCAACAAAGTACTGCCCCTTCAGAAGCAAAGGCATCCAATACTCATCGTCTGGCCACATTTGTGCCAGTGGAATTTGAGGTAATGGCTCGGACGTATCTGGCGTATCATTTTCAGTGTCTAGATATTCCTGAGGAATAGCAAACCAGTGAGGTTGCATTTCGTCGGTCCTAGATGAAAACACAGAATGTCAGGTTATCCAAACAACATAAATTGAAGAGTTGGAAAGACTGGACGAATAGGTAGTGCTTGAGGGCACGAAACTTACTCTATAGGATCGCCTTCGTACTGATCCGCTCGATACATGTGCACGTAATGACAGTATTCGGCAGAAGCGTTTACAAAGAGAAGGATACCGCATTCCCGTATATTCGCCGTAATGCCTGCCTCTTCCTAGAAATGGGCAAGACATCATTTATCCTTCGGACGGAAATACCAGGAATATGTATTGAATAACCTTCAGTTCTCTTGCGGCAGCTTCAATAGGCGACTCATGTGGCTCGACTTTCCCTCCGAATCCATTATACCTGCGGCACGTTACGGTCAATCTGGTATTACTTGTACTATTTCATTCAATGGAGTCAACTGACATTCCCTTCCCAAAGCCACGCTTCTTCATCCCAAGCAAGATCTATAGCTCAAAGGTCAAAGAAAGTTTATTTACGGAAGAAACCAGGACATACCCTGCCATGTTTCTTGTCGCAGACGAACACGTTGGTGAAAGGCTTGAATCGCTGGAGCTCTCTCCAGTTCGAGTCGCCTCCAGAAAAAAGTTTAATAGCATTGCTGTCCAAGCCAAGGGGCACATCTCCTGGCTGACTGTTACCCATGTTTTAGTAAAGATAGCAGGTCGTAGTGGTTGAACAGCAACCGTTGAATACCCGCTTTTGCATGAGTCAAAATATTGAATTACGCGAACACGCGGTAAATTGAGATTTACATCCGTCGCGTTTTTTGCGTAAGGAGTGGCTCGTCATGTTCGTACTGTACCAGATGGGACACTCTGTATTGACCCAACCAAACATGCAAGTTGGATGGTATTATTCTCGCTATGCCTTTTTACACATTTTATATATTTACCTCACTTAAGTGCATAGTTTGGACCAATGACATGGTGCTCCGTTAAACAGATATATATGTTCATCATGAAAGTCAGGTCCAACTTGTTGAGTTACTGGAAGAATCCGTCGATAACCTTTCAAGAAATGAACTTCCATTCGGTGTACCGGGATTAGATTCCAGAATTATAAGTAGTAGCAAGCTCGGACGTTTTTCTTCTTCTTGAATCTTGAGAGGTCTGTATGATGACTTGCAGATGAGCGTTTAGCCCTAGCAGAATACAGAAATGCGAATAATGAGTTAAATGTAAATTCATACAAGCCCCGGCCCAACTGCATGCATTACATCCACATCTACTCATCTGGCACCTCGATCTCCCCGCTGTTAATCCCGTCAATAATGTCATGAGGTGGCTGCGAGTCGACCGTGCACCCAACCGACTGCGCAGTTCCGAGAATCTCCTTCACAGTGCCTTTTAATTCCTTCGCAAGTGACTTTGAACGCATGGTTCGTGCAATCTCGACGATTTCATCAAAGGGAATGTTTCCTGAGTGTTTGATGTTCTTCTCCTTCTTTCGGTCACGCGGGGGCTCCTTGAGGGCACGGATGACAAGAGAAGATGCCGACGGAACGACGGAGACAGCGGCTTGACGATTCTGGATCGTAAGCTGGACGGTTACACGCAGACCCTTCCATGCACCAGTTGCTTTTGCGATATCTTCTCCGACCTTCTTCGGTGACTATAAACATAAAACCACGATCATTTAGGAAGCGAGTCGAGTATTTCAGAACGCGGCACGTACAAGACCAAGAGGACCGATTTTGGGAGCTAACGCAGACGAAGCACCAACTTCTCCACCAGTTGCTCGAAGATAGATAATTTTCACCTCAGTCGGATCCTTAACACACCTATGAGCACTGCAACATCAGAATAACATTATCGTGGCTACTCACGAGTTTGGGTGCCATTTTGAAGTAGGAGGGAAAGGAATCGTGAACTCGTAATTATTCCGTTGCCGTCGATAATGACACTGCAACTTTCGTGAACCAGACACGGTAAAACTGTACAGTACCACGCTGGTCGCTGACTCATCCGGTTTTCGCCGAGAGTGAATGGTGTAATTCTTCACGTGGTAATCGCTGAGTCTGAATTTGGCAGGTTGCAGAGACAACACACGTTCATTCGGTGTCTCATTGCAAGTCTGTGCAATGGCTGCATGGAATCGCCAGGCAAGATCGAACTGCCTAGAGCGTTCGAGCATGCCGATGTTGACCACCTCGTCGTCCTCATAGCGGACATGCTTAATCGTCTGATCGGCCACAATGACAAGATTCCACTTTCACCGTACGATTCTGAATTACCTGCCGTGCTATCAGCTGAATCGCACTGTAGAGAAGCGTTAACTCGCTTTCACTCTCGAACTCCCCCGACGATAGGTGTCCTTGATTATTTGCGACGTATTGTAAAGTATGCTAATGTGGAGGTGGGCGCGATAGTCAAGTTATCTCGAACTGCTTTGATAATTTACAAATTGCTTTAGAGGACCTGCCTCTTGATAACACTGCATTATATTGATCAGATCTGCGCTCGACTCCCTCATTTTACTATCTCTTCCCTAACGTGCCACCGATTCATCATCGCCGCGGTCGTAGTCTCAAGCAAAGCTTTATGTGACGCTTTTTGTACAAACGCTCATTATGCGAAAGTGGGTGGCATACGTGTTGGCGAGCTAAATTTGCTCGAGAAGGAGCTTCTTTCCTCCCTAGACTGGCATTTGACTGTGCGTCCGTTGTCTGACGTTGCATTTTTTGGACCAGTATTAATCCGAGGAAAAATACGTCAGAGCACTCGTGAGGTCCTGGATGCATATTACGTCAATCTAATACGGACACATGGTTCGGGCGAATATGTGCTGGCTCCAGAACCAACTTCTCCGGCACTTTCTAATGCAGACAGTGACATGGATAGCTACTTGTCGGCATCTCCGTCACCATCGGGAGTACCTACGATGATGGAGGACGAAAGACCCGCTCAAATGCCCACGATACACGTTGCACCGAACGGCGCGGATAGCTCTACAATAGCACGTTCCTCAACTGAGCCTCGTGCCATTGAACCGTCTACTGTTCTTATTGACCGGGCGACGCTCCCTCCAAAACCTTCCGCAGGACCAACTCTGGAACAGAACATGGCTTTCGAAGCTCTTCGCAAGGCATCTTCAATCATAGATCCGGCAACCAATATTAAAGAAGGAAGCGAACACACATCCCCTACGCTTACAAACAATGCGATCTCAATGGACTTGTCGAACTCAACGAAGTCATCACCTGTATGGAAAAGGGAGAAACGAACTGTAGAGAAGGCAAACGGAGGTTCTGAACTTCTACAAGATGAAGTTGTAGATATTGATTCTGTGCGCCCACGTACCAGGCCGCGAATAGAAGATGACGGCCATGGTATCGGCTGAACCGTTGCAGCTTCGGTTACGAGTGTGTTTATTATTATTGCCGAGTTTCCCTTTGCAATATGCACTACGCATAATCCCCACTCGAAAGATGCTTGTCAATCGGATCTATTCAGACTACAACGATCATCGTCTACCAAACTGGTGTGTGCACGGAACGATTGTATGTATAACCGGTGAGTTCCATTCACTAAGCTTTATGAGAGTGAGAGAAGATCCAATCCGAGCGATTAATCACAAAACGTGCGGATGGCTATCGGTGCCGGATATAGAATATACAATAGCTATCGAGCAATGCGGACGCTTAGTTGAGATAGGGAAGAAGCAGCTGGCGGCGGACGGCACCCGTCCAAAATAGTTGCCAGTAAGTATATTAACATTGTTTGCTGACTTCCTGAACAATCATGTCTTCATTTCTACAGCGTTGCTAAGACCAGAAGGTTCCAGTGGTACTGCAACCAGATTCAACCAATTCCTGTCAGGATCCAAGAAAATCATTAAGATGGTTGAAATTAAGGGTAGTTGAGCACGGAGACGTCCCATGGGATGAGTCGCACAAGAAGCTCTTGAATGACTTTACCAAAATCATGAATACAAGAGAGGTTCAACAGAGACGAGACGACCTTTTGAAAAAGCAGTGGGATGAAGAACAGCAACGGAAGCGACAAAGTGAATGAGGACGACCACACCACTAATTGCAAGGAACCTACAGTGGTCGACTAGTCAATGAGACAAATGAAAGAATAGCCAATGAGAATAATAATTAGATTGAAATAATAATAAAGTCAACAAAAATAGAGTAATATTATTTATTTGTGAAATGTTCAGAAAATGTTTGAACCCTTATTTGAGTATTCAAGTAAGGTTGGCTGGTTCGACATATAATCATTCACTACCTTACAGTTTTGTTTGCTCGGACTGCAATGATTTGATTGCTTAACCATGTGCCTTGGCCCGTATGCATTGTACCTCTGAATCCACTATATTGTATAAACCATAAACAAGAGACACTACACTCAGTACGGATGATAGGACTAAGTAATAGACAAATCGAGCCCGTCTGGTCTCCTCCAAAGTCGAAACCTCCATGATCCAGGTCTCCATGACGCAGTACGTCGTTGCCGAGAGCAGCACTAGGCGCAAGGCCCTCAGCACGACATGCCTGTTCATCCTCTTCTTCAATGTTTTTCTTGTCCAGTCGGGCTTTCTTGTTCGGCTTTTCCGGTGACGTATCACGGCGTTTATGTACAAGAATGTTCGCAATGGGACGCGTGAACATCTCTGCAAGTTCTAGTGCCAACCGAGAGGACCGACACATAAATACACACTGGTCGCTGTTGTCTTCGTCGGCACGAAATGAGCGAGTGGGTCTTGCCGTATTTCCAGAAGACGCATTACATTGCGAGATCGAGGGAGGAACTGTTGCCTGGTGACGATCTCGCTGACTTTCGCTTGGCTGGCACGGCCAAGGTTCATCCTCGGCCCATCCTCAAGTTCTGTTACACGATCAATAATCTGTTTCTTGTTCAGGAATTCCCTCCTCTTAACAGACTCCTGATTTCCCTGCTCGATAGCTTCACCAGCTCGAGGAGACACAATTGGATCGATAGGTGGAGGTGTAGGAGGAGGCGTGGTGAGGCGATATGCTAAAATATTCTTTGTTCATTGCACTATACTTATATCAGAGAGTAGATAACTCACAAACTCTTGAGGGAGACCTTCACGCAGCTTCACTGACTGCGGCAGCATCACCCAATGGCGCAACTTCTGGAGCACCGTCTCCAAAGTCAAGCCCAAGGTCAATATCTTGAGAACCGATACCATCCCCTCCTATGTCTATGTTAAATCTGATATCATTGTAATCGAGTTGAAAGTCGTTGGCTGACGCAAGTGTGATATCCGTCTGGCGTGCAATGTGCTGGCCACCCTGAGCGTAAGTTCTGTCCTCAAAGTCGAAATCACTGGGAAAATGAAAGTAACGCTGGCCGTTGGTAGAGTGACGACTCACAAATTTAAGTTAGGAAGAAGAAGGTCCAGATCAATGTTATTTTCTTGAAGGGTAATAGCATTCTTATTGATAGGTGATTGGTCTTCTGTCATACTAACAATGCCTGGGCGGAACGCCTGAAACAAGATATCGGGATCAACTATGGCAATTTAGAGAGCAGAAACAAACCATCTCGATTTTAACTAATGCATCATTATCATCATTACAGTCAACAAGGGGATACTTCGCCTTGCGGCTATAGATGCGCACAAACCTAACAAAAGCTGACCATTAAGACGGAGGGCCATGATTTCAACTTCCTGCCCCATAATACACAATTCAATTAATCTCAAGGCTCTGAGCATGAGTAACAGCATACATATCAACTGACTCCTCTATGTCTGCCTGGAGGGTCTCCGTTTTAGAGAGCTTCCGCTCCCTGCGTGCGGCGAGCTATACCTCGGCCAACGGACCGCGCCGTACAAGAATCGCCTCTGAGTAGAACTTCGGCAACACACGAGTGCCATGCCAATATCGTATAGTCGACAAACATACCATGGGTATAAACCAAGAACGAAGAGTATATGCGAGAAGACCAGTAAGTCGCACCTAACGCGCTGCACGTGCTAGTACTAGTAGTTGAATGAAAGTAAGACCTGACACAGTATGACACTGACAACACTGATCTTCAACACGAAAGCAGCGTGGGAGTAATTGAGGTTATTTTGCACATAGTTGACTCAGTCCGAGTGAACAGTCTCACGAGTAAGTAGCGCAGAAACGGGTTGCAAGCATCGCAGCATCGTCAACTTCTAAGGTACACAAAAGTTAAACTCGACAAGCAGTGTGACGCACGTGATCAAACCCTAACTTCCTTTCCTGGCTTACAGACTGGCAACGAAACTCGTCCCACTACAAGGCAAAAATCAATAATGTAAGACCACAGAAATGTAGCAGATACAATTCTCTACATTTCTGTGGAACGGATTTTCAAAATTATGAAAAATGGAAAAGTTATAACAATTTCAACTTTTTCAATACTAAACAGCTTATTTTCTATTTTGCTTTCATTTGGTGAAGTAAAAGAAAAAATTGAATTTTTCTTGAGAAGATTTTGGCCGCTGACAAATAATATAACATAACTAACTATACTAAATATAGTACATTACAAATAAAATTACTAATCAAATATTTATAATACAAATAGGACGTGTTAGTGCTCAAAGCCTACTACTGAAATTTAGCTTCAGAACTTGAATAGAGCATCTTATAAGGTTCAAATCCTCTGAATATATGTAATCTCTGTCACTTCTGAGCCTTTGTCCACAAGAGGCTTCTGGTGATGTTGGTGAAGCTCACGATTTTGGCCGCAGGGTCCTTCCATATCGGGTAAGCGAGTGTTGTGACTGTGACGTGACATGGCTTGTCGAATTTAACTTTCGTGTACCTTATTACAGCCGTTTTCAAAATTGTTGTCACACGCGCGATTCGTGATTTTCGTCACACTAAATACACTCAAATACAAAATCTACTATAATTCAACTAATACCTAACCAAATTACATGATCTAAGTTGTAAAAATTATATTTTTAAATTATCTTTCAAATTCCAGAAAAAACAAAGTAAATTGGGCAACATTTGAGTAAGATACAACACAATATGTGAGTTTTCCCTATATTTCTTGTATATGAGTTTTCCTGGCCCTAAAACTGATTGTACAATACTATAAGCTAATCTAAATGATGAATATTACTTTATTATTAATTTACATATTGAATTATAACTAGGGTACAGAGTATACATATAAGTATAATACATATTTAAGTTTGCTAAAAATGAGCATTTTCCCCTAACCTCTCTACAGTCAGGGAAGCTTCTCCTGAGTACTATTCATGTTTATAAGTTCATTCCAAATAAATTAGACTAGTTTTAAGCACTTTTAATAGTTTTAGCATGGATTTCTAGTCTAGATTAAGTAGTAAGTCATTATTATACATATTACTTTAACAGTACTTCTCTGACTTATAAAACTATACTATAACTTATAAAAGTGCTCATATCTGATATGTTTTGGTTAGAGTGAATTTACAAACATAAATAGTACTCAGGAGAAGCTTCCCTGACTGTAGAGAGGTTAGGGGAAAATGCTCATTTTTAGCAAACTTAAATATGTATTATACTTATATGTATACTCTGTACCCTAGTTATAATTCAATATGTAAATTAATAATAAAGTAATATTCATCATTTAGATTAGCTTATAGTATTGTACAATCAGTTTTAGGGCCAGGAAAACTCATATACAAGAAATATAGGGAAAACTCACATATTGTGTTGTATCTTACTCAAATGTTGCCCTAATTTAC